AGATTAATTTAATTCTTAAATTTGACAGCAATACACCAAACTTCTTAACAACCTGGGATTCATTAAGATTAATATATTACCAAGGTAGCTGTATAGTTAGATGAAAATCCAAGTTGATTTGAAAAAGTAAAAAAAAAAATTAAAGATTTAATCATTTTTTTTTTTACCTATTAATTAAATTCTTTCATTTCACAGCAATGAATCAAACAAACAAATAAACTGGAATTTTGTAAGATCTTTATTTAATTAGGTTAGATGGGCTGATTTATACCAGTGAAGACTAAATTTGAAGGTCCAGACTAGTCGAGACAGGTCGAGACTGGTTAAGACTGAGTCGAGACTAGTCAAGACAGGTCGAGACTGGTCGAGCCTTGGTCGAGACCATTTCAGACTACACCAAGATCATCAAGTACTGAATCAGACTAATTAAGTAAAGTTGAGACCTAGTCGAGTACAATTAAGTACAGTTAAGTACTGTCGAGACAATGATGAGACTAGTTGAGTAAAATGTGTGCTCGACTTTACTGGTAGAGCACAAAAACTGGTCTTTTCAGACTCTGAGCAGTTTGTAGTGAAAGGGAAGGCTGGGTTTGAGTTTGGGGGTAATTGTCCCAACGGTTCAGGTATTGGGGGCCAAAAACAAGCATTTTTCTAGTTTCCAGACAATAACTTGTGTTTAAGTGTAGGGATCTCTCTAGAATTGTACTACAAGGTTCCATACCACAAAGTGAAGGCTGGGATTATTAGTCCATGGGGGGGGAGGAGGGGGGGGTCAAAAAGTTTGGGGGGATTTTTTTTCCCAATTTTTTGGGGGTTCATATTTTTTTCTTCAAAATCCTTGAAATTTCAAATGATTGCACAGTACTGCGCAATAGCAAAAAATCCTGAATTGCACAGTATTGCCCAACAACAAAGTATTGCGCAATAGCAAGAAATCTTCAATTGCACAGTATTGTGCAATAGCACAGTAATGCAAAATAGCACAGTATTGGGCAATAGCACAGTAACGACAATAGCACAGTATTGGGCAATACCAAGAAATCTTCAATTACACAGTATTGCGCAATAGCAAGAAATCTTCAATTGCACTGTATTGCGCAATAGCAAGAAATTGTCAATTGCACACTATTGCACAATAGCAAGAAATCTTAAATTGCACAGTATTGCGCAATAGCAAGAAATCTTCAATTGAAAATAAATACAAATCTTTCAACCAATTTCAATGGGATTAATTTAAAATCTTTAATTTTTGGGGGTTCTAACCTTTTATTACTTTTTTGGATATTGGGCCCTATTTTTAAATTGGTCTACATTGAGGTCAAAAGGGTCCAAAATTAAACTTAGTTTGATTTCACCAAAAACTGAATTATTGCGACTGTATGATATGCTGAATCTTATTGTGCAATTAGATGTTTTATTTTGGGCCCTGTTTTCAAATGTCCATATTAAGGTTTACAGGGTCTAAAATTAAACTATGTTTGATTTCAACTAAAATTAAATTTTTGGTGTTTTTTATATATGCTGAATCTAACCTTGTTGTTAGATTTTAGATATCAGACCATTCTAGGTAAATTAAATGTCCCATTTTAAATTTTTAAGATCTTTGACCACATTTAATTTGTGTCAGAAACTATATTATGTCAAAAATTTGATCACAATCCAAATTCAGACAGTATCAAGCTTGAATATTGTGTCCAAACTTGCCCCAACTGTTCAGGGTTTGACCTTTGCGGTTGTATCTTGCTGCGCTCAGCGAAGCATTTTATTACAGTTTACTAAATATTCACATTTGTATATATGGATAAGTACAATATATTAAATACTATAAATTTATTCATGCAAGAATTTTCACCTATCATCAAGATAAAAAAAAAATATGGTAATTATCAATAACAAAATTATAATTGGTGTGACAGATTTATTTGAAAATTTTGTGTTTCCTAAGTGTAGTTGACGATACGCTCTGTAGGAAAATAAATATAGTTTGAAATTTACCGGTCATTATTACATATTTTGAAGTTAATTACAGATATATTTTATAGATTTTTATGCCCCCGCCGTAGCGGAGGGGGCATTAAGTTTTACCCTTGTCCGTTTGTACATCCGTACGTCCCAAAATTGGTTTCTGTTGTCAAACTTTAGTTTGCCTCAACCAAATGTTATACACAATGCTTATTACTTCAAAACACAGATCAGGTTTAAATTTGGGTGGCATCACCTTTACTTTTCAAGAGTTATGCCCCTTTACAAATGAAAAAAAATTTTTGTTTCCGTTCTCTTACTTAAGTTTCCCTCATCCGAATGTTATGAAACTTTTACACAATGCTTATTACCACAAAACTCATATCAAGTATGAATTTGGGCTAAGTCACCTTTACCGTTCTTTAGTTATGTCCCTTTATAATGCTATATGCAAGCGGGGGCATCATCTGTGTCTAATGGACACATTCCCAATTTATTGAGCATTGTATTAATGACAAATGATATTTTTGAAATTATTTTTGTCCCCCGGTCTTGTTAGCGCTCTCACGTGTACAATTCTTGCCAGATTTTTATGATTATAATGGCAATCACATTGCATTTGCTCTGAAGACTTCATTTTTCTAAGATATTGATAAAAAGTTTTAAAGAACAAACAAAAGTTATTGCCCTTGTACCTTGGATAGATAAAATATGTGCAACGCAGGGATATTGGAACTTTGTTCTTTTATTTTCTTTTTTTTTTTGTGTACATTGTTTGGAGAAGTTTGTGGTAGGTTTCTTTATTATTCTGTATAAACTAATTTTCTTAATGCTTTATATAATTTTTTTTTTTATGAAGCAAACTCCTTTAAAAACTCAGCTTATATTTGTCTATTAATAAACATGTATTTATATTTTTGATTTTGGGCCCAGTTTTCAAGTTGGGGTCCGAATTTAAACTTTGTTTGATTTAAACATAAATTGAAAATATATGGTTTTTTGAAATGCTGAATCTAAACATGTATTAAATTTTGAATTTTTGGGCCCAGTTTTCAAGTTGGTCCAAATCGGGATCCAGAATTAAACTTTGTTTGATTTCAACAAAAATTAAATATATCATGTCAGGGGTTCAAATTAGCGGTGGTCCGAGGTCCGTGACCTTCCACTGTTGCAATCAGACTTTCGTTTTGGTTACTAGCTACGCCCGACGGACCTTCGAAATTAAAGGAAATAAAAATGATTTTTGCTGACCTTTTTAACCATCTGTATCGTCATTTTTAAGCCATATTATTATTGAAATTGAGATAAAAAAAATGTTTCATCCCTGACCTTGCCGACGAGTGATAAAAGTTATTTTTAACCTTGTAATTCTTGGAAACACAAGGTTATAAATAGTTGCGAGAAGTCACGTGACAAATCATTTAATCATTTAGACATTTAAGAACAAAATGAGTCCGTTTCACTTTGGTGTCACGTCTTCCAAGAGAAAGCCTGAAGATTATGAACGGTCTTCAACCACAGGCACTTGTTTCTATCCATGGGAAGGTCGACTATCCATAAATATAGAAGGATATTCAACCTTCCCATGGATAGAAACAAGTGCCTGTGTCTTCAACATCTTCAAAAGAAATCAAATGAAGATCTCACTAAAGACCAAAAATGCAATCGTGAAAAACGGGAACGGAGCCCCACAGGGAAATCGATCGACCGTGGCTATATTTTGATGAATCAAATGGTCTAATGTCATGCACATACTGCCAGAAGTTCCCCTCTCATTCAGAAAAAAGAAAGTGCACTTGTAAGGGGAACACAAAATCTTAAAATAGACCCAATAAAAATATTCGAAGTGACACCCCAGCATTTATCTTGTTTAAAGCAGTGGATCCATGAAAGTGACCCAAATTTTAAGTCTAATTATGACTAAAGATTAATTGTCAGACACTAAACTTGGACAATGTATTCTCAAGCAGAATGTAAGCCTGATCAGTTAAATAGATATAAGGTTCTTTTCAACACTGCATACAGTATTGCAAAAAAGGGAAACCCTTCAGTGACTATGAATTTATTCTTGAAATCCAGTGCAAAAATGGTGTTGATGTGTAAGCAGTACTTCAATATTGAAGGTTGTAAACTGTTTATTTGCTGGATAGCCCGTTTAGGCATTATATGAGAAACGAAACATCACATGCAGTTCAAATATGATGAAACAAACTAACCTCACTCCAAAAGCTCATTAATTTTGTATCTTATTGAGTTATGAAATTTTTCCTGTAAAAGTAGGACCTGGGATTTAGGTTGTGGACCTTTCAGTTTGGAGTGTCAAAGGTCCTGGACCTTCCAGTACCAAATGTTAATTTGAACCCCTGCATGTATATAGGGTTCTTTAAAATGCTGACTCTAACCGTGTATTTATATTGTGGATTTTGGACTCCGTTATAAAATTGGTCCACAATGATGTCCTAAGGGTCTTAAAATAAACTTGTTTGATTTCATAAAAAATTGAACTCTTGTTGTTCTTTGATATGCTGATTGTAACCATGTTTTAGATTTTGGATATTGGACCATAAATGTCCAGTTTCAAATGTTTTACTTCTTTGACCAAATTCGTTTTGCACAAACCTATGCTGTGTCAAATATTCAATCACAATCCAAATTCAGAGCTATTTTAACATTAAATGTTGTGTCCATACTTGCCCCAACTGTTCAGGGTTCGTCATCTGCGGTCGTATCAAGCTGCTCCCAGCGGTGTATTTTATTATAATGATTGTATGTATGATGTGCACGTCTGTCTTATGGGATTCAACTGATCTTGACCTCAAATTTTTGTTCAATGATCAATATATATATTCATAATATTTAGTGTTTTTGGTTGTACTGTGTGACCCAAATGGTTTCGATGCATTTCGTTTTATTTTTCCCACACTTCACTAGCATGCCTGAAGAAGTTATTATACATTTTGATTAAATTTCTTTATCCATGGATATCATGGTCTTTTTGCATTATTAATGTTTATCATGACTTGTAATTTTTTTTCAAGGTTCTGATGTGGATTGTAAGAATCTCACAGATTTCTTTAAAGAAGAACTAAAGTATCAGGTGGAATGTACAACAAGAGATATGACAAAGTTGGAGTTACAGGATTATTTCCAAGAAATTGCCAGAACATACTTGGCAGTGAACTCAAAGGATTATCATTCCTTTATCTGTGTAATTATGAGTCATGGAAATGAGGTATTGAATTTGAATATCAAATAATTATCTTCATAGCTCTCAGTGTACTGTTTTTTTTTTTCAGTACAGACATGATCCAATCAATGACAAAACAGATGTTTCTTTTCCAAATCTTATTGATAGCAATAATGGATATACGCCAATATAAGACAGTTATACAATAGTCACAGCAAACCTAAAACAAGAAATGTAGTGGTATGAGCTTTTCTCCACCATTTTCAATTTTCCAACTGTAAATCTTTCCATTACAGTGTAACTTTATGCCAGCTGCACCAGTATCTGCATATAAATGCACCCAGATGATGCAATAGTTGAGGGCTTAAGTTTATCCTGATGAAGTGTTCTGTTTGCCAAGAAAATGTTGTTGAACCAATGATTACTAATTGTAAATTTGAAGTCATTACCTTTACAGGTTGACAAACACATGATTTGGTTAGAAGCTATGTCATATCTGTGTCGCACCTATGCTTTTTTTCATGATTGTGAGATTGCTGTGAAGCAACTTTCAATATAACTTTAAATTTTCAACATTCAATACACATGTTACATTACATGTGTACATCCATACATTGCATGCATCGAAGTAGGTCCAAAACCACCAGCTCACTGGCACTTTTATTTATATGTTTTGTTTAATACTATGGTGAATAACAAGAAGTTTAATAGATGTAATACCACCAAATCATAGTACGTCACATCCGGTTGCATACGAAAATAGGTCGAAAAAAAATATTCCCTTGAATTTGACAGTTGTAGGTAATTAATCCTACATTTCATTGCAGTAAAACATTTCTGGGTCATAAACATATATCTTGGGTATTTCAAAGCACCTTTATTTTTTTATTTAGGGTTTCTATAGAATATTTTTGAAACATGAGGTTACATGGTTACTAAAGCTTGTACACAGGTTAAATAAAGGGGAAAGTTTGATTGGTTAACTTCCAGTGATGGTTATTTTCTTATATGCAATGAAATGTTATGTGATTTTTTTATGTGATTTTTTTCTATAGTACTGGACAGGATAAGACTTTACTCATGCCAAGTATTTCTTTATTTGAAACAAAGATAAATTCTGCACAATTTTTAGAAAAGTGCAAATTTAACACAGACTAATAGGGGAAAATCAATGGTGGTATTACACCTTATATGTCTATGTGTATCAGTTGTGTACAATATAAGTTCTTGACTAGCTGATAACCTAATGAATAGCAAATGGAAATGTCGTAATATTGTCTCATAATGCTGGATTAGCCAATCAAATAAACACAGTATTCGTATCACACTCCGTCGTGCAGTGTGATACGAGGAATATCTCTACATGCAAGAAATAGATAACCGGCCACAACCATAAGAGAGTGTTATTTTATTACGATTGACAATGAATATTTTCTGTTAGGAGCAGAACTAGTTGGGATATTGTAAACAATAGTTCATACAATGAGATATTTACATTTTCACTATTTGTGGTTTTATTGAAATTTTTACTTTATATATTTATAGATATATATTCCAATTTAAAAAAAATATTTCAGATAGGAATTCTAACAACAGATGAACTGATCACTGTGGAAGAAATAAAAAAGCCATTCAAAAACAAACCTGGAGGAAAATTTAATGGTAAGTTTTAACCTCAATTTACATGGTAATTGAAAATGGTCATTTGCCATCATTCCTTGTACATCAATGTGTCACCTGATCCTGGAATTGATTTTCGAAATCATATCAGAGTTGATGCAAGCATGTCATATGATGCTTACTTTTGAAAAAGTCGTCAACCGTCTGCAGTCCATGAGATACTGAATGTTTTCCATCCTATGTTTACTCAATTAATCTGGTGTTGTGATGTCTCAATTGGTTGATATACACCCTTCATATCATTGGCGGAAATTTCTGTGTCCTAACCAATGATTTGCCTCCATCATGTTTATTCATCTTAATTACTGTTCTGTATTTATAAATGCATTAGACGGTGTTCCAGATAGGATATTTGTATTATGAACATGTACTTGCCTAGTTGACTTTGACAACAGATTTTGCCATTAAGGCTATCATAAAAATTTTGTGAATTTTACTACCTTCCTTTTTGAAGTTGTGTGGCTTTTCAATTAATATTAAACAAGGTCAAAATTTACAATAAAATCTTATTTACCTGTGCTTCTGAAAATGGTATTCATGAGCAAGTATCGGATGTGGTAAAAATTACATTGATTATTAAAACTAGAAAAACACTCAGACATCAAATGGCAGTTAAGTCTGCCAAAAAATTTTGATCCAAACATTAGACAAATACGACCAAAGTGAACATTTAGATAGAAGTGCAAGCGTGTATTGTATCAAAACGTATTCAATTATTTTCATATAATGTCAATGTACTTTAGGAACAATGAAAAGCATTGACAGAGGCCTTTTTTTTTTCAAACAATCACTTGAAATTAAACAGATAATTATGGTTTAACCTACGTTCTTTCAAACGACCTTTTTAGGTACACATTTAATTTAATTTTTTTTGTCAACGTTACTTCCTTAGATACTAAGTATGTTCATCACATTACACATGTTACATGACTAGTAACAACTTTATCAAAGTATTGTATCACGAATGGTTACATGTATGAGGAGTAAAACTGGTTGGAATATTATGACTAGTGACAAGTTTCATTGAAGTATTGTATCATGAATGATCCATCTATGATTAGTGAAACTGGTTGGGATAATGTGAACGACCTTCCATAAAACTCAATTTGACAATTAATGTCTCAAGTTATCTTTTAATTTGATTTATGGTTATGACTTTGTATTGGAAAAGCTTTGTTCTTAGGTGCTTGTTTATATGTGTATACTTCTTTTCTAATTTCTTTCTGTCTGTTGAATTTTTGCTTTTGTTTGTTGTTCTTCAGATTTCCTTCTGGACATAGGTGGTAAAGTATTATTAAGTTTTAAATTTAATTTCAGGTAAACCAAAAGTATTTCTCATTCAAGCCTGTCGTGGAATAGAAAAGCAGGAAAAAGTTGTTGTGTCTGATTGTTTTGAAACTGAAATCCATACTGGACATGTTGGAAGGTATGATGAATTTCCTGGAAGAAGTTCTGTTGAGACCTCTGTTATCAAACAAGGAATTCTAGATAAGCCATCTGGCTCATCAGAAGTGTTCTCTACTGATGCTCATAGTTATTCTTCAGAAAATGTTCCAACAGATGCTGACATTATAGTAGCATATGCAACAACACCAGGTAAACTGTATTTAATGTTTATGTTGACTTATCTTTTCTACGTTAATAATGTTATGCTGTCTATGTTGATGGGTTGGAAAATAAAACTTTTTTTCAACATTAAGAGACCAGATAAGAAATACAAGGTGCTATAATAAAACGGGAAAACATGATGACAAAACTGATATGACTCAAACCTTGCTATAGCTGAAATGGGTTGATGCCTTTCAACATGTCAAAGTTCAAATCTGTTGAACAGGCCAGGCAAATAAGAATAGGTTTTTATAAGTTGATATTTGACCGGTTCTTGACCGAGGGGATTATATTCAAAATGAGATTCATTGTAGTTATTACTAATAGAACGAAAAAGGAAATGGTAGTTTTTTTAACATTACTGACTGGTGACGCTAACTATTGAGTGCCAGCCAATGTATGTGTTCAAATGTATGTAACCTGTCTTTTTACATTTTGTCGTTGATATTCTTATTTTATTTTCTCATTCACTTGCCTTGATAGTATACATAACTGATCTTTACCCTCCTGACTCAAATATTACCTCTTGTCCATGTGTTTGATATAGTGATCTGTTCACTTTTAACTTTGAAGCTACCATCTGTTAATACAGTAATCTGATAGATTTAACTTCAAGGCTACCATCTGTTGATAAAGTGGTCTGCTCACTTTTAACTTCAAGGCTACCATCTGTTGATAGAGTGATATTATCACTTTTAACTTCTAGGCTACCATCTATTGAAACAGTGATGCCCTCTTTTTACTTCAAGGCTACCATCTGTTGATAAAGTGGTCTGCCCACTTTTAACTTCAAGGTTACCATCTGTTGATAGAGTGATCCGCCCACTGACAACTTCAAGGCTACCATCTGTTGATAGAGTGATCCGCCCACTGATAACTTCAAGGCTACCATCTGTTGATAGAGTGATATCCTCATTTTTAACTTTAAGGCTACCATCTGTTGATAGAGTGATCTGCTCACTTTTAACTTCTAGGCTACCATCTGTTGATAGAGTTATCTGCCCAGTTTTTACTTCCAGGCTACCATCTGTTGATAAAGTGGTCTGCTCGCTTTTAACTTCAATGTTATCATATGTTGATAAAGTGGTCTGCTCACTTTTAACTTCAATGCTACCATCTGTTGATAGAATGGTCTGCTCGCTTTTAACTTCAATGTTACCATCTGTTGATAGAGTGATCTGCCTACTTTTAACTTCAAGGCTACCATCTGTTGATAGAATGATCTGCTCATTTTTAGCTTCAAGGCTAACATCTGTTGATACAGTGATCTGTCAATATTAGCTTCTAGGCTACACTCTGTTGATTCAGTGATCTGCTCACTGATAACTTCTAGACTATAAGACTTATGGTGTTTAATTTTAACATTATGTAAGATACTCTAGCGGAGTTAACAATGTGTCTTATCATTTCATAAAAAGTTACAAACAGACTGCAAATGATCGTTGTTTAGGGCATTCTAGGTAAATGTTAATTTGTATTTCATGTACATTCTACCAGTTAGCTGGTTATATACACTTGTTAACTACTGGAGGGTATGAACATAAACGATGTTTTCATTGATATATGGACTTTTTTATCATATTTTGCAATATTGAAGGAAAGACTTAGTAAAAAAACAATCATTTTTCAAAAGTGCAGTGTTTCAATGCTGATCTTTGTCTTTGTTATTCTTCAAGATATTTGTTGATTAGTTCATGCTTTAGGGTAATGTCAAAACATTCCTTGGATTATTGCCAAACGCTTAAATGGAATTATATCAGATCTGAGATATAATACCAACATTGGAAATATTTGAATTATGGAATATATTTTGAATTTTAGGAGGGCATTAAAAAGTGTAATTAAATACATAAATACAAAATATCTTGAGAGTTAATGTGATTTTCTGAGTAACAATTTTGAAATTGTTTTGGTAGATGTTGCTGACTCAATGAGCAGATTTTCCATGCAATATTTATTTTTATTCCGGTAGGAAATACTCCATTTATATAGAGTAATATATGTTTACTTCCATAGTATTTGATTGGTGTAGTCTATTGGGTCAATATAAATGATATATTTTCACTATAAAAAATTACAATTCCATCATTTTAAAAAATATTGGAACAACTGTATAGTTAATTATAAAAGTTACAGTTCTTCTTTTAAATTACAGGCTATATATCCATTCGGAATATATATGAAGGGGCATATTTCATAAGAGCTTTCTTGTCTGTTGCCAAGAATAAATACAAGGAGGAACATATCGAGGAGATATTAAGAAATGTGAGAGGAGAATTAGCTACGAATCAAGAATATGTACCACCATCTGGAAGCTTGGAAGGAAAATGTCAGATGGGAATGTTAGAGACTACATCTACAAAGAAATTTTTCTTGTAATGTCAGGTCAATAAAACTTATTTGGAAGGAAAATGGTTATCAAGCCATTTATGACCATTATCATGAATTAAGTATATATTTTCCGAAGTTTGAGGCTTTATGTAACTGATTTCATGCCCTCATTTTGATGAATAAATAAAACCTTTTTGTTTATTTATCAGACATTGAAAATAACGTCTCAACTTTATTCTATGTCAACTAAAATCAAAACCAGTCTGTTCGATTATAATCTATGTTGATCAGCTTGTCATTTAGATACCCTATAAAATTAGCATTGTGACAGGGAAGAGATATATCTATAAAGTTTGATATTGTAAGCAGTTTAAAATGTTAAGAGTTGTTTATATAATCAGATTTAATCAGAGAAAGATACTACAAACTAGTAATTAATACATGTATGTGTTGACAAATGTGGCACCAATATGGTTTATTATGCAAGACATGCAATTGGCCATTAATGTGGGGTGCTGTGAAGATCCTACTGATAACTTGATTGATTGATTGATTGAGTGGTGTTTAACGCCACTTTCAACACTATTGTGCTATCTTGTGGCGGTCAGTTTTTATTGGTGGAGGAAGCCGAAGTGCTCGGAGAGAACCACCGACCTTCGGTAGGAAAACTGTCAATCCTAGTCAATTAAGATTAGAGTTGAGCACACCTGCCCTGTGCGGGATTCGAACTCGCCGATAACTTGAACTCGAAAACTTTTGTAGAATTGTTGTAAAGTTGTGGCTACATTATTGAAAATGATTAAGTGTTCATTCAATGAGGGATTTCTGTTCTACTATTTTGCAAATTAGAATGACTGGAATCAATTGTCTATCTACATTTTTCTCTGTAATGTCAAATTTTATGGAATTAACTTGATGGTATTTTTTGCAATTTTAATACTAAAAAAAACAGTTTCTGCATTTTAGAAAATAAACGCTGTTGAACTATATTTTGGGAAGAATACCCTCTTTTTCACCTGTCTAACAAAATATATAAATCAATTTCTCATCTATTCCCCATCCCGTTTAAATGCACTGTAGTAGATGTGATGTTGAAAGAAACTTCCACATGTGTATATGTTACACTGTTTATTCCAATGTTTTAGATGGTAAACCAAACAATTGTTCTCGATAAAAAGATGGAGGTTTTCAATTAAACATACGGTCCAGTTTTATTTTCTTTCCTTTCGCCATTAGTGGTGTTATTATCAAAATACAAACTTTTGTGAGTGATAGTTCATTTATTATACCTTTGTTTTGTTCTGCATTATATGTTCTTTTGTTCGTCCGTCCGTTCGTTCGTCCATCTGTCCCGCTTCAGGTTAAAATTTTTCAGGTTAAAGCTTTTAATCAAGGTAGTTTTTGATGAAATGGAAGTCCAATCAACTTGAAACTTAGTACACATGTTCCCTATGATATGATCTTTCTAATTTTGATGCCAAATTAGAGTGTTGATCCCAATTTCACAGTCCACTGAACATGGAAAATAATAGTGCAAGTGGGGGATCCGTGTACTATGGACACATTCTTGATTTGAAATCTTTTTTATATACAGTATTTTCATCAATAAAGAATTAATCATTATTGTTGATAAATGTGTTGGTTTGTACATAATTTTTTCATTAACAAATGAATGAGACGTTCAGATCATAGCACACTCATTTTGCATATCATTGAGATATTTTAGCACTGTCATTGTACATAAAATTGATATATTTTATCACTTTCATTGTACAAAGAATTGAACATTTAGTATGATCAGTATATAGAGCATTGACCTATTTTAGCAGTTTCATGGTACACATAATTGGCTGAATTTAGCACTATCATTATACACATGACTTACAGATTTATCACTATCATTGTACATATAATGGACATATTTTATCACTATCATTGCACATATAAATGACATATTTTAGCACTATCATTGTACAGATAATTGACATATTTTAGCACTATCATTGTACATATAATTGACATATTTTAGCACTAGCATTGTACATATAATTGACTTATTTTAGCACTATCATTGTACAGATAATTGACATATTTTAGCACTATCATTGTACAGATAATTGACATATTTTAACAATGTCATTGTACATATCATTGACAGACTTTAGCACTGTCATTGTTCATATAATTGACAAATTTTAGATATATCATTGTACAAAGAATTTACAGATTTACAAATTATTTTAAAAAACTAGCACTATCACTATAAAAAATAAAACATGTGATAAATCGCCAATGAAACCACTATCCACCAAATATCAAATGAAATGGATGTAAGCAGTTTTAGGCAACTGCACGGCCTTCAACAATGAGAAAACCCCAAACCATAGATAATCGGTTATAAAAGGCCCTGACATGAAAAATACGAAACACTTCAATTGAGAAAACTAACAGCCTAATTCATAACAGAAACATTTACGAAAAAAACAAATATGACAGACAATGAACCAACAACAACCACTGAACTTGACTTGGGACAGGCACATAAAGAAAGTGGCTCGGTTAATCATGTTTGTGAGCGCTAAACCCTCCCCTAACCTGGGACAGTGTTGTAACATCACAACTTGCGAACAAACTATTAAATCAGTTTAAAAGGGCTTAACTCATCAGATCGATACAAAGCAAAAAGAAATAAAACAAAAACAAAGACCGGACGTGGTAGAGTATTTATCCATCCCTCATCCCTAACAACAAATAAGACACTAAGTATAGATTTGATAGTACTCCCAGTTACTGACAGCTAGTTCAAAGCAAATAGCAACTAATACAAAAAATCAAGTATCTAAGATTAAAATATCAATCGGTACAACCCCAACATCCAATGGATTTAGTGTAAAGATGTTATTAAAAGTCAGAAAAAAACATGATCATGTACTGAATGCCAAAATATAGGTATCGATAGATTGTAGTACCGTAAATTAAACATGAGTATGACAATAACATTAAGAATGGTTTTAATTTACTGATAACAAAATCAATATTTATACAAATAAAAACAATATTCAAAGATTTGATTACAGTGTTGAATTAGTAACCTTTCAGAATAAGTTATTTAAAGGATTGATAAGTCTACCTGGATCGTATCTAAATTTCCTGGCTCGGTTATCAACATCACCGTAAAATTTAGGATGTGCTATTCTCTTTGAAATAAGTTTTCTACAGGTACAGCCAAACTTGCAAACTTAATCTTTGTATCTATGGAAGAATTTAGTAACGGTTTTAAACAATTTTTGGTAACGAAATCTGTGACATTATAATTTACTAGTAATTTGTCGAAACCAAAAACATCACTACAGACATGGGCATGACGAACGGGTTGGGTTATATAAACATCGTACAACGTTGCCAAAGGAACATCAGCGTCCAAAAAAGAAAACTAATTATAAGGAAAGAAAAATCATCCCTTTTGTCGTAGTTTTTGTAGAGTTTTTATCATTTTACAGATAATAGACCACTTTCGAGTCATGTCCTTAACTTCAAAAGTTCGTCAATTATGTGTGCCTTTATGACGTCATTTACCCGATAGAGGGGACCGCCAGTATCCCTGCACTATCAAGTTCATTAAGCATCTTCATGAACGTTGTTATGCAGGATAAACTAGAAATAATGTTTGTTCCATAGGTTTTTAATCACAATTGCAGTGCTGAAAATCAATTATAAGAATTTAAATTGCTGAATAATTCGTGAAATGTATATAGCATCATATTTGTTCCACCGCTGAACGTGGGAAGGGAGTGACGATACACTTAAATGCACGAATGATGTTCACTAAAACCAAAGATTTTTGACAGAAATGCATGAACTCGAAAGTGGTCTATTGACAGATTTTAGCACTATCATTATACAGAAAATTGATTGAATATAGCACTGTCATTGTACAGATATCTGAGATGTTAAAACACTATGATTGTATATATAACTGACAGATTTTAGCACTATCATTGTACAGATAACTGACAGATTTTATCACTATCATTGTTTATATAACTGACAGATTTTATCACTATCATTGTACAGATAACTGACAGATTTTATCACTGTTTGTATATATAACTGACAGATTTTATCACTATCATTGTATATATAACTGACAGATTTTATCACTATCATTGTACAGATAAGTGACAGATTTTATCACTATCATTGTACAGATAACTGACAGATTTTATCACTGTTTGTATATATAACTGACAGATTTTATCACTATCATTGTATATATAACTGACAGATTTTATCACTTTCATTGTACAGATAACTGACATATTTTATCACTATCATTGTATATATAACTGACAGATTTTATCACTATGATTGTATATATAACTGACAGATTGTATCACTATCATTGTATATATAACTGACAGATTTTATAACAGTAGTGTGTACTTTTTCAATTTATATTATTTTATGGTTTATCACCTTTATTTTGTAAAGAAATGAATCTAATCTACCAGTGGGAAAGTCAGTGACATTGAAGAGTTCCTTCCGGTGGTCACGCGGGAAAGGGGACATAATCTAAAAATTTCGAGGTGGCGCTGTAATCAACGTGTAAACAAAAACGTAGCATATGATTTAGACAATAAATTTATCAAAACGACTTATCATCCAACAGTATTTGCGGTTTAATCTTCATCAGAATAGATTTTGTCACACGACTGTCAAAAATATATTAAAATAAGTGCTTCGTTATTGAAATATGATAAATCAGAAGACTACCTCCGTTGATTTCCAAAAAACCGCGGGTAATACCCCCGTCTGAAAATAACTGACACAATTGCATCCTAAAGCTTTTCATTGGATGAGATATAAATAAATGTGACCCAGAAACATATGGGCACATGACTATGTAAAGAATTCCCAGTCACTTCGAGTCTTGTTTACATAATAAATACCTCAACCGGAGGTCAAAAATCAACATTTTTCTAACGTTTTTGGCGTTATTTCATTGCAAAATGGGGCAAATGATGTTAATTTTTACCAGTTTTTAACCACGAAATTGATTCAGACAATGATGTGTGATGATGTTTCCGGGATTTTTAATATGTTTTACATAAAAATGTTGATATGTTGAAGGCTTTACTCCGTCATTTGTTGATTTTTTTCATGTTGCTCAGACTCCTTGTTTTAATAATTTTCTGCATTTATTTAATTATGCGACAGTGTTTAAAAGATTTATGTAGTACATTGAAGCTGGTTTATTCTATGAATGAATTTGTCCATATAAATGACTTCAGTTGTCTGGAAGCCCCCCCCCCCCCCTCCCCTTTTTCCCACTTTCAAGAAATTTCAGTTGGGCAAAAAATATTGTCTGAATGAAAAGCTTGCACGAATGCAAAGTGTAAGCACTCAGCTAATGTCTGTTTTAAGCCTTTTTTTTAGTCTAATGATTACAGTCATTCTTTGTTTCTGTAAATATTTACCTGTCAAAATGTGTCAACTTGTCAATTTTAAAAATATTAAAAGTATAAATCAACAAATATTGCCTGCCTGCCACTGTGACATGAAAATCTGATGAGTCAATAATTTTCACTTGATTTTTAGTCTTTGTTCTTATTGTATAAATAAAACTACTATGCAAGTGGGAATTAAGTTAACACACAAACATTTGTATTTTGCCTGTCCTTATCAAGGAACCTGTTGTACACTAACCATTCATGTTTAAGTGTGTCTGGGCCCTGGTAACAAGTATTTGTCATTGTGTTTTCAAGTGTGTGCATGTTCTTAAAGAATTGTTTTAAAAAAGTTTTTCTTCCATATATATATAGTAGCTGTATTTATTTTATCATTAGTTCTGGATTTAGAATTTTTATCACATGCTATTTTATAAGGTCCCATATACTTAACAAAGTGGTTTGCAAATTGTTGAAGGCTAAAACTGTTACCTATAATTATCATCCTCTATCAATTTTCAATCATGTCAATATGGGTTTCTTTTAAAAACAACTTTTCCCAAGGAAAAACTAAAGTTGAAAAAAATAGTTTAACCCAGATATGCTGCTGCTGAAGAAATTAACATTAACAATGGTATTTTTCAAATATAGCATTCATTAATTACACTATTCCTTCACAGTGAAAATGAAAAAAATTTTTTTTTTAATTTGAATGCATCCAAGGGCTATCCTGGATTAACCTTCAACAGGTATGCTCAATGCCTAGTACATATACAAGTCTTAATACAAGTGAGAGCTATATGACCGTTAAGAGCATAAAAAAACCCTATATTGCTTCTGAGGTCTACTTTGAAGATGGGATATGAATGTCTCACTCTGATTTTGGTTATCCTGTTTTGTTGCGTTGATATTAATGTTTGATCAACAACTTTTATTTCACACTAATCTTTTTCGAGGTCTATCATGATGGATATTCTAGGTACTGTAAATTCAGAAAGGATAGCAAAGTTTTAATTACTGCAATAATGTGAGTGGGTGAGTATCTAAATAATAAATTGCATTCTGATACCTTTTAATCTGATTAAAATGCAAATCCTGTGTCCAAGCTTATTACAAGAAAACAAAGCTTGGACACAGGATCTATACTTAAATCAGATTCATACCATTCCTATATCTGTGTGTTGATTTTTCTGCTAAAGCAATACTTTTTCACACATTTTATTCCATTCTACATATTTGCAATAATAAAAGCACACAATAATTTGCAAAATCATGTGATTACATATAGGAAAAGGGCACCTAGGCATCTCATTCTAAATACTACACATGGAGCAGGATCTGCTTACTCTTCCAGAGCACCTGAGATCATCTGTATTTTGTGGGTTCAAGTTGCTCAGTTTTCATTTTTCTAATTTGTATATTAGTTTAAACTTTTCATCAAATAGTCTGAAAACAGAGATATGCATCTGCTGAAAATGATTTATTTAGGTGCAGGGGTCACCACACTTCAAAATCTCCCTGGAAACATATAACAGTGAAAAGTCATGTCATGAGAGGCCATTAGAGAGACATCAAGGATACCTCTGGGAGAAGTGAACGATTCTAAAACCACTCCGTTTAAGTCCTTCACACCTAATAAATCATTAAAGTAGACCTTTTACATCTTTGATATTTTTTTATGTCTCAAATACTACAGTACATACATGTACATGTATATGGCTAATATGCTTGCTTTGCATCTATGAATGTTTTATTGTATTGCAGCAGCAGCATTGTCTCATGTACATCTACCCCATGTTATCAATATAAAATGATTATGGTGTTTCACTTTGTATATTTAAAAATATAAAAATGTTAAGAAAAAAAAAGTTTATTAAAAGATAAATAAATACAAATGCATAAAAAAAATGTTAAAATGAAACATATGTAAATAATATCTTAAATTATTATAAGAAAAATAAACTTCAGTCAAATAAACAAAATTTAATACAACTTAATACTTTGAAAGTAAAAAAAAACAAACGCATAACAATAAAGTTTAAAATTTAAGAAGCATTATTGTTAAAAAGTCCAAGTTAAAGTAAAAACAAGTCGAATAGTTCTCTGTTACATAAATCCTCAAAATGGAAGTGTTTCCTGCTCTTCTTTATTCCTTATTTCTATTGATATCTGTAAATATATAAATTTATGCATATGATATTAAATGAAAATAATTTCCAACTTCTCTTAGAGTTGTCATGAAATTATAATTTATATTTTAATTGTCTACTGATTCTTATGTGGTCCAAGTTTTAATTTAAATCGAATGTTTCTAATTTCACTAATGTAAAACTAATCAGATGTGAAATAACTGCCAATGAGACAACTATCCCCAAAAACTCAAATGGAGTGGATATAAGCAATTTTATGCTACACTAAAGCCTTCAAACATGAGAAAATTCCATAATATATATACTTAATTTTGTTTTTAGATATTTGTTATTATTTTTTTGAAATTGAAATTATTCTTATTTTAATCTTAAATAATCAAAAGTATGTATATAAGCTTCAATAAACAAAAAAATTTAGACTTTTGGTGTAAATAAATAATTTATTTTAATGACTTTATATAATATGTCTGATAAGAAAAGGTCATAATCATATACAGCAACATATGTTCAAAGAAATTTTTCTATTTATTTATTCATTTACTTCAGTATCTTAACATGTTAAAGTTAAATTCATCACTATAATAACATATCAATCTTTTTATTAGATATTAATATATATTTAAATAAAGTTTAACTTCATATGCAACATTAAATTATCATATCTGTTATTTCAAAGGTAACTTTTCATTCAATCATTCTGATTCATATCTTTAATTCCTCATAAATGATATTAAATGTAAGTAAACGTCATAATTACAAACAAAATATCAGTATGAGAGCAAAAATATAAAGTAAATGCACAAGTAAGTCTGCATTCAGGTTGTGAGTTCAAACTCTCCTTGTGCAGGTTATCTGAACTCCAATCAAAATTGATTAGGATTGCTGTAACCAAAGGTCTGTGGTTTTCTATGACGGACAGACAGACGGACGGACGGACAACTGTATACCATAATACCTCTCATAAACAGGCGTATAAAAAGGAGGGTTCTTTTTCCAAATTGTCTTTGCCTAATGAATATTCTATTAAGAATTTCTTTTAAATATTTAGGAAATTTCCTTTTATCATTAAATGACATTTATCAAAATAAATGTGAAAATTACTAAGAATATTCATTTCTAATGAAAATTAATCTTCAAAATGACAACAGATTATGGATTTATTCTAAATTTTAAAAAAATGGAAAATTAATAAAAAAAAATCATAACTTCATATTACATTCTTTTAACTGTATCTGAACATGATTAATAAAAAAAAAACACTGACTAGATTGTCAAAATCTTATGAAGAATATTTATATTTCAAGTAAACACAGAAAATGTCAAAATGATGACTTTCTTATCAGATAACCTATGTGTAACATCTGTGGTCAGTTTATTGGGAAGAGTGATATATAAATTACAAGGACTTTAAACTGTGAAGCTTATCAGTTGTGAAATTTGAGATTCCCTCAAATCTGAGGGCATTCTTCGGGCTGTACTATAAAGTATAAGAGCAATCAGGTATCCACCACCAATAAAACCTGGCCACAACACCTAGCCAATACTGTGGCGTTAAAAATCAACAATCAATCACATATAATTTGTGTTTTTTAGCATGGAAGGAGGGTCAGAACTGATACTTTTCTTATGATTAATATTTCATATACTAGTACCTGAAATCTGTTCAAAATATTTTTCATGACCATATATGCATTATTTAACCAAAAAAAAATGGTACTGTTGTTCACATAAACAAGGCTCTGGATGGGGTGTCCTCCATTTCTATATTATTAAATCTTTAAGGTCATTTTTCTCTATTCTTTATACTTTTTGCCCATCATTCTCTTTTCTCAATAGATAAGCACAACATTATTCTCTATTCCTTATATTTTTTAGTCATTTTTTCTCTTTTCTTTATACTTTTAGCCATAGTTCTCTATTCTGTTGTTATTTTTTTTGTCACAATTGATCACAAATACTTTACACAACCGTTATAAATAATCTAAAATATAAATGCTAACATTGATAGGTCAAAATTAAGGTTTTATTTAAAATTGAAGTCTCACGCTGGGAAAGGGGCGTTTATTTACATGTGGTCTGTGGAAATTTCAGCATCGAAAAAGGGGCAAATATATAGCCATGATTTGACATAAACCGATCTGATCAATAAAATTGTGTTATGGATATTGTTCATATCTTTCTACTAACCATTAAAAGGATATTACTAGGATTTTGTGAGCACAGAAACCTACTATTCATGTGGATCTGTTGAAAAATGGCGTCGATTTATGTGCTTCCCTTTCGCAGCCTCAGTTGCAATTTGACACGGAGTGATGGGTAGTTATGCAAATATTTAGGGACTCCCATCATCAAAGATACTATTTTTGTTCATTTTATATTTAAATAGCCATTAGGATGCAAATGTGTCAGTTATTTTCAGAAGGGGAAAACACCCGCCATATTTTTATCTTCCAAAACAACAACGTCACTTGCCATTTTCAGATGTTTGTTTCTTGTAAAATAAAATCTCCTAAGAAGAAAAAATAGCATGGTCACCTGTTAAACTTACCTATATAACTAATTGATGATGAAATGATGCAAGTTTAATTGTCTTTAATAATAAATTTCTTGAAAAATCAAACGTACACGATGTAAACAAATTACCGAGATGGTGCGATACTGTCGCCGTCTATGTAAAAATCGCGATTGTCGCCCTTGAATTCCTGTCCGTTACGTCATATGGAAGGAGGCGTAGAACTGACGTGTGGCTTTCCCACTGTACCAGAAATCATAGCTATTAATCATTATAAAGCAAATAGACTTAACGGGTCGTATGTGCTAAAGAGGGAATTCAAGTTCACTGGTGTTAAACTGATAATCGTAACTGGAATTACGACGATCCCAATATGGCGACGGCAGAAATAGGTAAAATCTTTTCAGTCATTTTTCTCAAATGTAGCCTATTGTTGTCAAGAGTTACTCAGCTGCAAGGTTTTTCTATACCATTACATCATATTTGAATCGTAACGGTGCACTATAATTGTCTAAGTGCTTAGAAAATTGCTGTCGAAAAATTCGGGATGATAATCGTAATTCGATGGCATTTTTCTTGTTTGATAATCGCAATTTCTTTATGGGATAATAGTAACTGAAAAATAATAAATGTGTCTTCCAGCTTGTCAATGGTATTTGTGTGTAAAAACGGCAATGTCCAGTTAAACGATGACATTAACGTGCAAAATAAAGAATAATGAGCATTATCCCATATTCCAAAAGTGCAATCCTTTCAAATGAAAGTTCCGTATACCACATTTCAATATGCCATATGTTTTGCCTCAAATATTGCATATATCCAATCGACTTTTAAATCAATAAAAAGGGCAAGTTAACCTCCCCTATCTCAATATTCCCTATACCACGGGGGTGGCTGTGGGTTACTTCCTATATAAATATATAAGTTATAACATGGATCAGATTTTTGGTCTTCGGCAATATATGAAAAGGGACATTTTTTTTAAATTTCAGCAGCACGACAGAAGTGACACCACCCCTTCCACCGTGCCTTATACAGACCTCATTTATCATAAGATCGCTGTCAGTTTTGAGTTCCCTGTTGTTTATATTCGGGGATGGGTCCACAAATTATGTTAAAGGGAAATGGGGGAGGGGGGGGGGCTATTAACTGAACGTTTATACTAAATTTCTGCGAGAAATGAACAAAATTTTCCATCAGTTACTTAACTGCATTATTGGATTTAACAGTTGATACTTTGATTGGTGGATATATGAGTTTTCATTTTGCCCTTTTCCTTATATTTCAATAGAAATACATATAGTTTAATTTTGGAATGAAATGTATCCCGGTTAAAATAGCCGTTCATATTTTTCAAGTGAATTCACTTTTGTTCTGTTTTACACTGATATTTATATGATTTTAAAAATTAAATTCAAATATTTTGATTAAATACCCATGTATTTTAGGACGTTTCTTTAAACAGGGTGGATGGTAAAGGATCTAGAATAGTTACCAGTTTATTGTTACTATTGTTTATTGTTACTTGTGTTTATTGTTACTTGTGTTTATTGTTCCTTGTGTTTATTGTTCTTGTGTTTATTGTTCTATGTGTTTATTGTTCCATGTGTTTATTATTGTTCCTTGTGTTTATTGTTACTTGTGTTTATTGTTCCTTGTGTTTATTGTTCCTTGTGTTTATTGTTCCTTGTGTTTATTGTTACTTGTGTTTATTGTTTTTATTAGCCTTAACTAAATGGCACGTATAGACTTGCGAAGCATTTGAAGGACTGAAAATAAACACAAATATATATTATGTATATATGTGTATTGGTCCTCAGAAGGCATAATATGTAGATCATCACGGTCGAAACTGGTTTAATTACAAAGACGTTAATAGATAGTCAAACAAATATTTTGTGCTTCAGAAAAATGCATGGCAATTATGAAAGGCTAATTTTTGTTTTCATTTGACAGAAAAGTACTAAGTATATGGTAATTATGCAAGTACAAAAATATTCTTTGTTACCTTCAATATTTTTTCTCTACAATAACTTCCATGCATATGTATGCAGCATATTTTTCATAAACCAAGTATTTATGATTTCTTGAATCAGTTTGTTTCTGATATGGCGGAATATGCGCTATGATTTCTTAAAGTTGCAGTCATCTTTTTGAATAAATATAGCTTGTAAGGTAATTCAAGGCCACATCAATTTGATTTCTTGATCTTCGGGCTTTTGGCCAAACTATTAAAGAACACAAATCCATGTTTGCCAATGAACTCCACGTCACCATGTGCTTAACTCCATAACACACAAAGCATTCCAACTTTTATCTGCTCTTATATTATTATTATCCTTTTTAAGGATGTCATATTATTAGAATGCCAAACTAAATTGGTGTTGTTAAAATTTATAGTTATTTTCTGAGATATCGAAATGTCAGTGACGGTCATGAAGTAGCTAAGCATTTTTTTAGTATTTATGGGCTATACAACTTTTTACACATTCAAAAAGGTGTGACATTTGTTTTCAAGTCCGTGTTTAAATAGAATACCAAACAATATTTCTTTTTAACTCTAAACATGAAGAGATCATGATGACATTTTTTTAAATTTTCTCCCATATTTTGTAACGGTCCTAGTGCCTGGAGTTTTCAGTACTTTAACATAGTTCATGTTTCCCCATTTACAAATTTATGTATCTGTTTACATTAGAATTGTTAATCATATATGCACAAAAAGAAATGTCATAAGATATGGGAACGTTTTCGTGATTAATTCATCACCATATTTCATCATATATGCTATTAGATAGACGTTTTTCGTGTCAATACCAATCAAACACTACCCAGTTACGAGTATCTTCTTATTTATTAATACCGAAATTACGATTATCATTTTTGCGAGTTACGATTATCATCCCGAATTTTTCGATGGCAATTTTCTAAGCACTTAGACAATTATAGTGCACTGTTACGATTCAAATATGATGTAATGGTATAGAAAAACCTTGCAGCTGAGTAACTCTTGACAACAACGGGCTACATTTGAAAAAAATGACTGAAAAGATTTTACCTATTTCTGCCGTCGCCATATTGGGATCGTCGTAATTTCAGTTACGATTATCAGTTTAACACCAGTGAAGCTGGCATAAGTCATAGCTGTAAATCATTACAGAGCAAATAGACCTAACAGGTCGTATGAGCTAAAGAGGGAATTCAAGTATGCATAAGTCATAGCTATTAATCATTACAGAGTAAAAAGACCTAACAGGTCGTATGAGCTAAAGAGGGAATTCAAGTATGCATAAGTCATAGCTATTAATCATTACAGAGGAAATAGACCTAACAGGTCGTATGAGCTAAAGAGGGAATTCAAGTATGCATAAGTCATAGCTATTAATCATTACAGAGTAAATAGACCTAACAGGTCGTATGAGCTAAAGAGGGAATTCAAGTATGCATAAGTCATAGCTATTAATCATTACAGAGTAAATAGACCTAACAGGTCGTATGAGCTAAAGAGGGAATTCAAGTATGCATAAGTCATAGCTATTAATCATTACAGAGTAAATAGACCTAACAGGTCGTATGAGCTAAAGAGGGAATTCAAGTATGCATAAGTCATAGCTATTAATCATTACAGACTAAATAGACCTAACAGGTCGTATGAGCTAAAGAGGGAATTCAAGTATGCATAAGTCATAGCTAGTAATCATTACAGAGCAAATAGACTTAGCCAAGGCTCCGTGTTGAAGACCGCACTGTGACCTATAATGGTTTACTTTTTTTAATTTTGACTTGGATGGAGAGTTGTCTCATTGGCACTCATACCACATCTTCTTATATCTATTAACAGGTCGTATGAGCTAAAGAGGGAATTCAAGTATGCATCAGTCATAGCTATAAATCATTACATAGCAAATAGACTTAACAGGTCGTATGAGCTAAAGAGGGAATTCAAGTATGCATAAGTCATAGCTATTAATCATTACAGAGTAAATAGACCTAACAGGTCGTATGAGCTAAAGAGGGAATTCAAGTATGCATAAGTCATAGCTATTAATCATAACAAAGCAAATAGAATTAACAGGTCGTATGAGCTAAAGAGGGAATTCAAGTATGCATAAGGAATTAAAGCTTGAACGATTAGAATCCAGTGTCTAAAAGATTAATACCAAATGAGACATGTGTTTAAAAAAAAGTTAAAAGCAAGTGTGTCATGTGTGAGTAGCAGATTAATTAAGATCAAATGTGTCATATCTGTGTAAAAGATTTAAATGTATGTGTCATGTGTGTTAAAGATTAAAAATTTAAAATGTTTTAAACAAATAGCAAGTGTGAGTAAAAGATTAAAAATAAACTTGTGTTACAATCAAATTCGTTTCCCAGATTTAAATCAAGATTTTGGAAAAAAATAAAATTAAATAAATAAAATTTATATTTTAAAATCATTCAGGCTTCTGTTTTCAATGTATGTATCTTTTAAATAGATTGTGTGATGTTAGTTTATCTTATGTGACTTTTAAATAGATTGTGTGATGTTGGTTTATCTTATGTATCTTTTAAATAGATTGTGTGATGTTAGTTTATCTTATGTGACTTTTAAATAGATTGTGTGATGTTGGTTTATCTTATGTATCTTTTAAATAGATTGTGTGATGTTGGTTTATCTTATGTGACTTTTAAATAGATTGTGTGATGTTAGTTTATCTTATGTGACTTTTAAATAGATTGTGTGATGTTAGTTTATCTTAATATATGATATGTATAATGACTTATGTGATTGGTTTATCTGTCCTTTGTTATCATTTGTGTAATTTTATTAGCAGTCTTCCTTGAGAAATAAATGTATATAAAAATAGCATTCTTATATAATGTAGATACGCAATCAATAATACATTGGTAGTTATACTTCTGTTCATACAACTAAACCACAATCAGAATATTTCACAATAGTCCCGCATTAAAGATTCCTGATTGGCCAACATGATTTGTTTTTACTTTTCTTACATGTAATTATCAAAATTGTGATAAATTTAGAACATGTTAAAACAAAATCTACGAAAATATTGAACCCGGAAGAAAATGTTAAGCAATAGTGGTCTTTGTCATTAAAACAAATGTAGGACCCTTCGTTCTCAGGAAATTTAAACAACAGCTTAAGATGTTACTTGCTACATGTGGGCTTGATGTACTTAACAGAACTATGCAGCATCTGAACATAATGCTGTCAAAAGGGACAGATAGACCCTGCTTGTAAAAACTAATTGTCAGGAAGTTTGGTTTAGACCGGTACATTATAATCGTTTACTAGGTCTTATCATCCAGCACATTTGTTAATTATACCCCTTTTTAGCTCACCTGACCTGAAAGGTCAAGTGAGTTTTTCTCATCACTTTGCGTCCGTCGTCCGTCGTCCTGCGTCCGTCGTCCGTCGTCCGTAAACTTTTACAAAAATCTTCTCCTCTGAAACTACTGGGCCAAATTTGACCAAACTTGGCCACAATTATCATTGGGGTATCTAGTTTAAAAAATGTGTCCGGTGACCCGGCCAACCAACCAAGATGGCCGCCATGGCTAAAAATAGAACATAGGGGTAAAATGTAGATTTTGGCTTATATCTCTGAAAACAAAGCATTTAGAGCAAATCTGACATGGGGTAAAATTGTTTATCAGGTCAAGATCTATCTGCCTTGAAATTTTCAGATGAATCGGACAACCCGTTGTTGGGTTGCTGCCCCTGAATTGGTAATTTTAAGGAAATTTTGCCGTTTTTGGTTATTATCTTGAACATTATTATAGATAGAGATAAACTGTAAACAGCAATAATGTTCAGCAAAGTAAGATCTACAAATAAGTCAACTTGACCAAAATGGTCATTTGACCCCTTAAGGAGTTATTGCCCTTTATAGTCAATTTTTAACCATTTTTCGTAATTTTTTGTAATTTTTTACAAAAATCTTCTCCTCTGAAACTACTAAGACAAATTTAACCAAACTTGTCCACAATCATCATTAGGGTATCTAGTTTAAAAAATGTGTCCGATGACCCCGCCCGCGAACCAAGATGGCCGACATGGCTAAAAAATAGTACATAGGGTAAAATGCAGTTTTTGGCTCATATCTCTGAAACCAAAGCATTTAGAGCAAATCTGATGAGGATAAAATAGTTCATTAGGTCAAGATCCATCTGCCCTGAAATTTTCAGACCAATCAGGCAACCCGTTGTTGGGTTGCTGCCCCTGAATTGGTAATTTTAAGAAAATTTTGCAGCTTTTGGTTATTATCTTGAATATTGTTATAGATAGAGATAAACTGTTAACAGCAATAATGTACAGCAAAGTTAGATCTACAAATAAGGCAACATGACCAAAATTGTCAATTGACCCCTTAAGGAGTTATTGCCCTTTATAGTCAATTTTTAGCTCACCTGACCTGAAAGGTCAAGTGAGCTTTTCTCATCACTTTGCGTCCGTCGTCCGTAAACTTTTACAAAAATCTTCTCCTCTGAAACTACTTGGCCAAATCTAACCAAACTTGGCCACAATCATCATTGGGGTATCTAGTTTAAAAAATGTGTCCGATGACCCAGCCAACCAACCAAGATGGCCGCCATGGCTAAAAATAGACCATAGGGGTAAAATGTAGATTTTGGCTTATATCTCTGAAACCAAAGGTAGCAATACACAGTTAGGAAAAAAACTTAAAATTGACACTCATAATTTTTAAACACCCTCTTTCCCTTCCTTTCTAACAAATAAGGCTTAATATTTGTGTTATGCATGTGTATATTTATAGAAAGAAAATCTTCCATAGATTTGATTTCTAATGGTTATAATGGTGAAATATAATCTCTTTTTGGTGTAACCATGGCAACAATCTGCATTTCTTTGATACAAAATATTGCAAAAAAAGTGGGTGAACATGTCACAAAAGTCTCCAAAATTTGGTCCAAAGGAAAATTTCAATCAATTACAGTGATACCTTTCCTGAATCCATAGACATATATCTATCAAGAGGTCCAAAAAAAATCATATGCATTTCTGCTCGTTTTTCCATAAAATTGAATTGAAAAGATCGAGCGCAAAATCTTTGTTGATAAACACTACAATAATTTATGGACCTATGGGCGGTACGGATAGGAAAATACGGACTGTCAAACAGAAAAATGGCCTATAAAACATGCTAAAAACAATCTAAATGTTCATATAAACCCACTAAGAAGGCTATATTATTCTTCAATTATCTAAAAATCAATTTTATTGTACAAAAACTTTCATATTTAAAAAATTCACCATGGCCATAATGCGAAACTAAACTTCTAACTGTGTATTGCTACCTTAAGGATAAACATTTTTTTTCCCAATTCCATTTTAAATGGATTTCTGTGTTCTGCTAGCTTAAACGAGCAAATTGGCCTGCTAGTTTTGAAAATTGGTTCAGAAATAAATATTTTATGAAGGTTAGCAGTTGACACTGAAATGCAACAAAAAAGTGATTTGGTGAAACATGCCATGTCAAAGTGTAAAATCTCCTTTTTTAGTCAAATTTCTAAAACTATACCTTCTGTGCTTGTCTTTTCTTGTTTAAAAACTTAAATTAACCTTAACAGTAGACAAATTTTACAAGTTAAAGCTATTTTAAGGCTTTAGAATGTCAATTTTGTTGTGTATTAGCATACTAAAGCCTTGGTTAAAATTTAGCAAATACTGAATTAATTTATAACAGCGGGAACAAATTTAGACTTAATTCATGCTAAATTGTGACTTTATACTTGCTAAAATAATAAATTTGATTTAGTCGCATGAAAAAATATAAAGCGTTCCCTTCTGAGGTTTCTACATAACGCGCATTGTTTCTTTTCCAAGGGGTAGCCAATAAAGTATCAATTTATGACCAAATCAAGTCCTTGTGTCAAAATGTCTATATTGGTTGCTAAGGACAATAAACAACAAAACTAACATATATTGTCATACTAAAAGATGTTTCTCCCTCAGAATTGTATCTATAATCTAAATATCAATAGATTTGTGGTATGATTTGTCTAAAAATAAGCAATTCTGTGCTTTGTCAAATGCCATAAGGTAGCAATACACAGTTAGGAAAAAAACTTAAAATTGACACTCATAATTTTTAAACACCCTCTTTCCCTTCCTTTCTAACAAATAAGGCTTAATATTTGTGTTATGCATGTGTATATTTATAGAAAGAAAATCTTCCATAGATTTGATTTCTAATGGTTATAATGGTGAAATATAATCTCTTTTTGGTGTAACCATGGCAACAATCTGCATTTCTTTGATACAAAATATTGCAAAAAAAGTGGGTGAACATGTCACAAAAGTCTCCAAAATTTGGTCCAAAGGAAAATTTCAATCAATTACAGTGATACCTTTCCTGAATCCATAGACATATATCTATCAAGAGGTCCAAAAAAAATCATATGCATTTCTGCTCGTTTTTCCATAAAATTGAATTGAAAAGATCGAGCGCAAAATCTTTGTTGATAAACACTACAATAATTTATGGACCTATGGGCGGTACGGATAGGAAAATACGGACTGTCAAACAGAAAAATGGCCTATAAAACATGCTAAAAACAATCTAAATGTTCATATAAACCCACTAAGAAGGCTATATTATTCTTCAATTATCTAAAAATCAATTTTATTGTACAAAAACTTTCATATTTAAAAAATTCACCATGGCCATAATGCGAAACTAAACTTCTAACTGTGTATTGCTACCAAAGCATTTAGAGAAAATCTGACATGTGGTAAAATTGTTTATCAGGTCAAGATCTATCTGCCCTGGAATTTTCAGATGAATCGGACAACCTTTTGTTGGGTTGCTGCCCCTGAATTGGTAATTTAATGGAAATTTTGCCGTTTTTGGTTATTATCTTGAATATTATTATAGATAGAGATAAACTGTAAACAGCAATAATGTTCAGCAAAGTAAGATCTACAAATAAGTCAACTTGACCAAAATGGTCAGTTGACCCCTTAAGGAGTTATTGCCCTTTATAGTAAATTTTTAACCATTTTTCATAAATTTTTGTAATCTTTTACAAAAATCTTCTCCTCTGAAACTACTTGGCCAAATCTAACCAAACTTGGCCACAATCATCATTAGGGTATCTAGTTTAAAAAATGTGTCCCATGACCCAGCCAACCAACCAAGATGGCCGCCATGGCTAAAAATAGAACATAGGGGTAAAATGTAGATTTTGGCTTATATCTCTGAAACCAAAGCATTTAGAGCAAATCTGACGGGGATAAAATAGTTCATTAGGTCAAGATCTATCTGCCCTGAAATTTTCAGACCAATCAGGCAACACGTTGTTGGGTTGCTGCCCCTGAATTGGTAATTTTAAGAAAATTTTGCAGCTTTTTGTTATTATCTTGAATATTATTATAGATAGAGATAAACTGTAAACAGCAATAATGTACAGCTAAGTAAGATCTACAAATAAGTCAACATGACGAAAATTGTCAATTGACCCCTTAAGGAGTTATTGCCCTTTATATTCAATTTTTTACAATTTTCATAAATTTTGTAAATTTTTGTAAATTTTTACAAAATATTTTCCACTGTAACTACTGGGCCAAGTTCATTATAGATAGAGATAATTGTAAGCAGCAAGAATGTTCAGTAAAGGAAGATCTACAAACACATCACCATCACCAAAACACAATTTTGTCATGAATCCATCTATGTCCTTTGTTTAATATGCACATAGACCAAGGTGAGCGACACAGGCTCTTTAGAGCCTCTAGTTTCCTTTGTGACCAATGTCCAGTGAAGCAAAAAAAAAATCTGCCCTCCTTCTGGATCGATTGTTCAGTGAACCATGCCAGACT